GGAAATTTAATATCAAGTGATCTAAAGTTTTTAATTCTATGCTGATTTCTAGGCTATCATGTTTTAGGCATATATATGGCATATGTATCTATTATGGTATATTAGGATTTTCTTTTCTATTACGGAATGCTCCAGAAATAGAAATATTTGATAGAATTTAATAGGAAAAATTGGTACTTTTATTTTTTCAGATTGGAAAAGTAAATCTTTGTTTTACTTTAAGTTAATAGGTTAGATTATGTTTAAACACATTTACAGATTATCATTTCTATATGCGTGTAGGCCAGTAACAAATTACAAATTATGGAAGTAAAAAAACATAAGACTTTCATTTAAAATAATGGTAGACCAAGTAATTTGGACTAGATCTTCTAGTGAACACATCTAGAAAAGCTGATAGCTGAACAAAATTTTTAAAACATCTGCTTAAAGATAATGACAGCTAACAACACTGAACAATTGCTACAGAAGCACAGAACCCAAGGTAGGTGAGCTGCTTTTCTCTAGAAGTGTTTGCTAATTCTGTAAGTGGTGTCTGAGATTGAGTGGTTGTCTTGACAGTCATATGGTAATAGGGGAGGAGGCATTGGAGTATGTGGCCTGCAGTGGTAAAACCCCCTGACTTTGAGTCAGAATCCCAAATGGAGTTAGAATTGTCCATTAGGGATAAGAATGATCCAGAAGTAAGCATACCTGCAAAGGGATGGCAGCTCAGCTTTGAATATTGTCTCTCTGAAATTGGATTGAAGTTACCTAAGATTTTTAGAGCTCCCAGGTGCTTGGCAGAAGCAAATCTAAATTATCTCAAGAGGGTATTAACATCCTAGATATGGTGGACAGACTCAAAGTTGGCCCCCCATTATCCCTGTACTTTGGTATTTCTTGTTTGTGTGTGGAATAGGGGATGTGTGACTTGTTTCTAATTAATAGGATACCCAAGGATGATGGAATGTATGTAAGTATACATGATTATATTATATCATATTCTGTTGCCCATCTTAAGGAACTCTCTCCCTTGTTGATTTTGAAGCAAGCTGCTATGTTGTGAACTGGCCTTCAGAGAGAGCCACATGGCAAGCAGTTGAGGGTGGCCTTTAGCCAACAGAAATAAGTAGGCCCTAGGTCCAGCAGTTGGCAAAGAACTGAATGCTGCAACCATGTGAGCCTGAAAGTAGATCTTTTCTCTGTGGAGCCTCAGCTGATACCACAGCTCAAGCTGACACCTTGAATGCAGCCTTATGAGACCGTAAAACAGAGTTCCCAGCTAAGCTGTGCTTGGACTCCTGACCACAGGACCTATGAGATAATAAATGTGTATTGTTTTAAGACACTAAGTTTATGGTAATACTGTTGTGCAGCAATAGAATATTAATGTAATAGGCCTCAAAATAAGTCTGTCAACAGTTTTGCAAGTACACTGTAGGACACACAGTAAAAAGTAGCCACACCAAGAGACACGAATACCAGCAGAAGCTTCCATTTAAACAGATCTGCAGGACATCCTGTTGGAGTTTTCAGACATAAACTTAAGTAAGGAGAATTTTGGCAAAGAATTGAAAATTAAAAAAAAAAAAACCTATGGAAATACTAGAGCTGAAAATTACCATGACAAATTAGAAACTTGATGAATTTCACAACAGAACAGGCATAGCTAAAGAGAGAATTAGCAAATGAACACAAATTAGAAGAAAATATCCAGAATGATGCAGAGACAACAAAACAATGAGACTACAGAAGGGAAGAGACAGAAGATATATTAAGATATGACATAGGAAATCAGTGTCCAGATGGAAAGGAGAAAGGAAATAAGCAATATTTTAAGAGATAATTGAGAACTTTACAAAATTGATAAGATATCAAACTACAGATATAAGAGCCCCAAACAGGATAAAACAAAAGCCACGTGAAATTACATCATTGTAAAACTGCTGATGACCAAAGATGGAAAAAGCATAAAGCAGCCAGGAAAAAAGACGAAAACATGACATTGAAAGAAACAACAACAGCTGGTATTATTTTTTTCTTAAGTGTTTGGTAGACTTCAACAATGAAGCCATATAGGCCTGTAGTTTTCTTTTTTGAAAGGTTTTTAACTATTCAGTTTATAATAGATAAAGGACTATTCAGGCTGTATAACATTTCTTGATTAAGATTTGGTAGTTGACTATATTAACCTATTGCTACAAAGTAAATCACTTCAAAATTTAACAGCTTACAGCATTAGTTTTCTCAGTTTCTGTGAGTCAGGAATTCAGGAGCACTTAGCTGGGTTCTGGTCCAGGATCTCAAATGTGTCAAGATGTGGCAGTTGTCATGAAAGCTTAACTAAGGCTGGAGGATGTGCTCACATGGCGGCTCACTAGCATGGCTTTCGACAGGCAGCCTCTGTTTCTCACTGATTATTATCAGGAAGTCTCAATTTATTGTTGGTTATTGGCAGGAGGCCTCAATTTCCAACTACCTGGGCCTTTCCAGAGAGTTGCTTGAGTATCCTGAAGACATGGTTTTCTGCAAGTAAACGATCTAAGAGAGGGCAAAGAGGAAACCACAATGCCTTTTGTGACCTAGTCTCAGAAGTTATATACCATTACTCCTACCATATTTCAGTTGTTAGAACACTAAAGCCCAAAATTGAGCTCAAAGGAAGAGGAATTAGACTGCACCTTTGAAGGGGAACTCAAAGAATATGTGGACATACTTTAAAATCACTACAGTGTCTCTCAAGGACTTTGCCTAGTGTAAATTGTGAAATTCATGGGCATAACATTTGTCATAATTTTGCAGTGAACACATGCATACCTACTATCTAGATTTAACCATTAACATTTTACTCTGTTTTATCACGTATCTATCCATCCCTCTATCCTTTTTTGTCTTTTGCCTTTTTAACATCAGCGTTCTTCCTCTTTCCTTCTTTGTTTCCTAGTGGATCAAACCCACTCAGGGTCTGATTAGAATTCAAATGTCTTCCATTTCTATGTCAACTCTGGAAATTTTTTAAATTTATCGTTCCTGGCGGCCTTCTTTGCCCAGATTTATGGAGTTTCACCCTATGCATATGTGGCTTGGTATTCAACAACAGACTAAGGGGACATCTCCCCCTTCCAAATTTCTGGAACTCTTTCTTAATTTAGCTCCTTCCTGTCTGGTACTCTGCCCTGCATTTTCCAGCCACACTTCTTCCCCACACTTTTCTCCCTTCTCAACTCAGCGAGACTACTGCGATCTGCCTGATATTTCCCCTCCCTGCACCTTGGGCTGGAAAGTGTCTCCAGGAAAAAATATAGGCAATTATGAGGCTACCTCATTTGTTTTCCTTCTCTCAGGGTTCACATTCCTGTGCCACTTGTTGTTCAGTGCCTGAAAAATCATTTCATATACTTTGTCCAATTTCCTTATTGTTTACACTGGGAGTGTTAGGCCAGTCCCAATTCCTCCAGAAGCAGAAATTGTAGTATCTCATTTTTCATTTCTAATGCAACATTGTAGTAAAAAGCTCTGCTGTGTTTTAGAGACCTGAATTTGAATTCTAGCCCTGGATTGCATAAATTACTAGCCTCTCAATGCCTCAGTTTCCTTAATCTGTTAAACGGAATTAATAATAGTACCTACCTCCTAAGATTGTTGTAAAGATTTACTGAATTAGGCATCGTATTAGTTTACTATGGCACCTGTAATGAATTAACACCAACTGGATGGCTTAAAACATTAAAAATGTATTATTTCAGTTCCAGAGACCAAAAGTTCAAAACAGTCTCACTGGGCTGAAATCAAGGTGTCAGCAAAGGCATCTTTCATTGGAGGCTATAAGGGAGATTCTATTCCTTGTCTCTTTCAGCTTCTAGTGACTGCCAACATTATCCTTGGCTTGTGGCTACATCATTGCAGTCTCTGCCTCATGGTCACATTGCTTTCTCTTCTTCTGTGTGTATCAAATCTCCTCCTGCCCCTTTCTTATAAGGATGCTTACATATTTAGGGCCCACCCAGATAATATAAGACATCTCCCTATCTCACGATCCCTAACTTAGTTACATCTGCAAAGACCCACTTTCCTTGTAAAGTAACATTTACAGATTCTAGGGATTAGAACCTGATGTCTTTGAGTGGCTATTATCCAGCATACTATAAGATAATAAATTACTTAGCACACAATGGTAATATTCAATATATTTAGCAACCAGTACAGC